GATGATATCTGCTCTCTCTGTTCAAGCATTTGTGCATCCATCTTTTGTGAGATGATGGCATTCTGTGCATCCATCTTTTGTGAGATGCTGGCGTTCATTTTTGTGTCCTGTGCATCGAACTTTTGTGAGATACTTGAGATCGCAGTCAATAACATGTTCATGTCAATATCCTTAGATGAACCAGGAGCCTTTTCTTGAATCTTACTTGATGGTGATTCCAACTCTTTCACAGAACCATCAGCCTCTTCCTTGTCAATGTCCTTCAAGGATTCATCTTCATCCTCGCGGTGGAACTCGTACTGGTTCAAGTCGATGCCTTCAAATTCCATTGCTTCTCGCAGTCTCGATTGCAGCTCTGCCTTATTTCCAGTAGTCGACAATCCTCGCTTTGCCAACTCCCTCTTGAGAGGAGGTATCGTTAAGTCCTGAATCTTTACCATTCTGCAAATATTATCCTTAGGATTTATTTAACAATCCCACTTCTGACACCAATTGTTACGATTTTACTAAATCAACCTCGATTATTTTCTAAATCCTTCGGGTATGATCTCTGGATTGTTAAATAAAAACTCGCCAACTTAATTTTCAGTTTCTTTCGTTATAAAGAATTAATCTAATATCCGTAATTCACAATACAGTTATAATGTACTTTACTATTCACAATCACTAGTATTAACTTTCACAATTTACTTTACTTAAATATAATCCCAACACCTTTACTTTACGACTTTACTGATGTTAACGCCAACGAGCTCACTTTGTAACTAACTTGACTTGGCAGCTGAGTGTCCCCTTATATAGCAGTGCTCGCAGACGAAAGCGTAGAAGCATCGAGTTGTTCGCTATCGAAGGTTCTTGTTTTATCGTTTCTAGAATGTAATAGTTATCGGCTTCTCTCTTTCATTTGACATTCGCCTCGCATTTTCGCAACAATACGTACATACTCGTATATGTTAAGCGAAGCACCCAGCATACAAAAAAGGTATACGAAAAACCCAGTATACATTTATACATTGCTGTGCTTAGACGAGCTGAGACAGTACAATACACAACATAAAAACAACCCACCAAATAAATTCATTAAATATAACATAAATACATACATATATATTATATACAATACAAATATATATAAATAAATATTTTATAATAAAATTCAATAACCAATATCTCACAATGGAGGACAAAATGGAAAAACCACATTCCCTCTGCCCCCTTACAGGACCCCGAACTTGCTCGAAATCACAGGCGGAAGAAGAGGAATTCTCCCACTTACACAAGAAATTTTTATACGAGCTATCCAGAATGGAAAAATTCTGCGGTAAATGGTGGAGCACTTCTGAAGAGACTCAGTCTGAAGCAGCACTTAAAATTTTCAAGGACCATCTGGAAAGACACATGGAACTAGTGGAGGCAGCCAACTAAAACCTACAGATGAGCAACGTGGAAGATGAGAAGACACGCTCAGCATGCACTGAAGCCTACGAGACCACAAATGACAATGCAATGCTCACTAAAATCCGAAAAAGTGAGTTGCTTGACCAAATCCAACAAAATATGGATTCTTCCCGGTCAAACACCCCCATCACAAAGATACCTCCTCTATGGAGGATATGAAGATTGGCCCTCATTTAGGGACATGTTCACAGCAGTGTACATCAACCACCCCCAATTATCCGAAGTTCAGAAACTATACCACTTGAGGCAGAAAACAAGAGGTAAAGCGGCTCTCCTCATCAAAAATTATCCACTTAGTGGCCACAATTTCTCATTAGCATGGGATGCACTCAAGGCACGCTACGAAAATAGAAGAATCGTAGTCGATGGCCAACTAAAGACGTTGTTCAACATCCAACCTGCCCACACAGAGAACGGAGAAAGGATTCAACAACAATATATAATTGTCTTTCTACCTTACAGGCAAATGGAGTATCTACAGAAAGCTGGGACCCAATGCTTGTCTACCTTTGCTCCTCAAAATGCCGGATGAAACACTAGCTCTCTGGGAGCAATCACTCAACTCAAGGAAGAAGTTACCTCGATGGTCAGAAATGGACCAATTTCTGACAGCTCGGTACGAGGTCGTGGAGCGACTCAGCACATACAGACCCAATAAGCCGAAAATCAGTCAGACCAGCTACCTCTCACGGACACCAGCAGTCCCTCCCCCAACACTCAATCATCGGAACAGAACCCAATCTTTCCATACTCAAAATAAAAGGCAAGTTTCATGTAAACTTTGCAAATCAAATCACTCGATTATAACGTGCGTCAAGTTTCGAGAACTATCCGTCTCCGACCGGAATAAGTACATTAAAGACAACAACTATTGCAAAAATTGCTTGGCGAACTCGCATTTGGAGAAAGATTCAAAAAGCAACTTTACGTGCGTTTACTGTCAAAGACGTCACCACTCGCTTCTCCATTACACAGCGAACCCCCACATGCCTTACCCCCCAAAACCTCATAGAAACTTCTCAAATGACAGTTGAGAAAGAACAGCCCTGTACCTCTAAACAGGCAACAAAAAACTCAAAGGCAAATGAAGGCGGTAGAAGAAAAACTCTATACCACTATTCGAGCAACAAAGAAAGGACATTGCTTCCCACAGCACATATTCCCATTCTCTACAAAGGAGAAGTAACTTACATCAGAGCTCTCATTGACCAAGGCTCTCGAAAAACCTGTGTGACATCCCGTATACAAAAGTTTCTTGGTTTCCCCACCATACCAAATTCTTGGCATAGGCGGTAACACAGTCCAAAACTCGAATAGAATATGCTCTATTACGATATGCTCAGCTAATCAGACAGTAAAAATCGCGGCTCAAGCGATAATACTGCCTCAATTGACGCACACTCTCCCATCCGTCAAAATAAAAGAAGTAGATTTGACAGAATATCTCTCACTACCTCACTAGAGACGATGATGAATATTGTGAAGCGCTCTACAAAAAAACCACTCATCGGCGAGAAGATGGTTGTTATATAGTAAAGCTGCCATTAGAGTCAGCATTCCCGGACTTAATTGCACTCGGGCACTCCAGACCTGCAGCATAGCAGCAATACCTCAGCGTGGAACGAGCCAATGAATAGAAAGATGAACTTCGGAGCACCTATTCAGAAGTTCTAGAGGAATATCTATCGTTAGGCCACATGGAGCCAACCCATTCACGAGAAATCATACGCGACGGTAAATATTTCTCCTTTTACCTACCCCATCACGCGGTGATTAAACCTGGAAGTAAGACTACTAAAATCCGAGTAGTTTTCAATGCCTCAAAAATCTCGCGTTCCGGCAGACATACCCCCACGTATCAAAAATATAAAGAGGAGAGACATACGTAGATGACATCCTCTCAGGCGGACACAACCAAGATTCAGCCGGCGAATCGATATATAAAGTTATCAAAGTACTCAAGTCAGCCGGATTCCCGTTTAAAAAGATCACAGCGAACCACAAGTCCCTACTGAAAGACATCCCCCCGCCTTATCTTTTAGATGAAGAATTTCTCCAATTCCAATAGGCAAGCTAGACAAAAACCCTCGGAATAAAATGGAATGCTCTGACTGATACATTTTCGTACTCAGTTGACCCCCCATTATCCTCAGACACTGCCACAAAACGACAGATCCTCTCATCTGTCGCGAAACTTTTCGA